TTGAATCTTTAATGGGAGTATGGTCTTCAGCATTCACATAGCAAAATACATCCTGAAGATGGGCTTAGCTTTATTATTTATTGACTGTATATGATGTATTTATCTGTCAAAATATCAATAATTAGTTCCTAGATAAACATCAATAGCTCTAGGATAAATTGCAACAGCAACTGCTTAACACCACCTGGCAGCCTAGATCTGAGTGTCTGTAGTAGGGAACCCTGCTAGCCATTATGACTTCTTTAAACGAGACAGACTGTTAATCTCAGTGGGTTTGCAGAGACATAAATAACAGAGTAACTTACCCAAGATTTTTGAATTTAGTATAAAAGCATGTAAAACTTGTGATTACTGAACAATAATTTTAATATGTTGTGAAAGCAAGGCACGATTCAAGAAATACATGAACCTTATTTAATTCCATAGCCATTAATGTACAAAGTAAACAGCATTTTTCTCTCTGCTGCATGCTGACATCCTATAAATTATTGTCAGATAATCTGAAGTCAATTATTTGCAATTACTTCAAATTAGAAAATCAGAGCATGAAATACGGGTTTGATTTTTCACTTGAAAACAAACACATAGAATGGATTTATGAAAGGCAAAAAAAAAATTATATAAAAACCATGACTGATTATTGGACCATTTTGGCTATTGCTCTAGGAGCCACAGTGTTCTGGTTTAATCCCAGTAGGCAGCTAAACACAACCCTGTTGCTCACTCACTCTTCCCTAGTGGGATGAGGGGGATTATCAAGAAGGGTAAAGTGTGAAAATTCATGGTGGGGATAAAGACAGTTTAATAATTTTTTAAAAGGAGGGGAATAAAAACAACAGAAAGAGGTGGGAAAAAAACAAACCCAAGGAAAAATTAGAGATGCAAAAGAAAACAATTGCTCACACCCAGCTGACTGATGCCCACTGTGTCCCACAGCAAAGGCCACCTCTGCCAGTCTCCATCTCCATCCTGTTTTATCACTGAGCACAATGTCATAGGGTATGGAATGTCCCTTTGGTCAATTGAGGTCATCTGTACCAGTTGTGTCCATTCCAATTTCTTCTACACCCCCAGCCTACTCGGCAGGACAGTCTGAGGAGCAGAAAAGGCCTCTGTGTTGACCTATGTAAGCACTGCTCAGCAGTAACTAAAACATCCCCACGTTACCAACACTCTTTTTATCACAAATCCAAAACATAGCCCTGTACCAGCTACCATGAAGAAAATTAACTCTATCCCAGCCCAAACCAGTACATGTAAAATTACTATCCAGGAATTCTTGTCTTTTAATTGTACAAGATCATTAAAAAACAGTAAGTCTAAGGTAAGTAATTAGTAATTTTTGACATTTGGTAGCAACTTAGCTATGTAACCTAGAGAGAAGTAGAAGAGCAACAACAGGAGCTACTGAACTCCTAAATTAGCTAGGCTTCTTGCATAGCAAATTGAAGAGAGGCTTTTGCCAAAGATGTTTCCCACTACTGCAGTAAGCCCTGCCCTAAAGTGTTCCTGGTAAAATCTCTCTCTCAATACAGCCGGACAGCTGAGGGCATCTTGAGTGGGATGGATATTGTAAATACCCCACAGTGCTACATTTAGCACTATTTAAAAGCTTGTGAAAATAAAAGTTTATGTTAAAAACTGACAACTAGTTGTTGTTGAATAACAGTGAATTCTCTTTGTAAGGTTTCTATAAGTGCAGCAATAGACAAGGATCCATCTTTAAGCTGTAGAATTCGAAGCTAGAAAAATCAAAAGCAGTGCATTCAAAAGAGAATTTCAGTGCAAATACAAGGGATGTGGTAAGTATTACAGCTGATCATCAGTTTCTTTAGGAAGTTTCAAATGAGATGATTATGGTGGGATTTCATCAGAATAAGTGAAAGAACTGTATTTCAGCTACATTGATTTTGTCCTAGACAACGTAAAAATTACCAAAGTCAGAGATTCACATTCAATGTCTAACAGGGAAAACCTCTCAGCACAGAAGATAATCTGCTGCAGAAGAACTTAATCCTTTCTTTTATTGCTAGATATTCCATGAAAGAGGAGAGTTAGGAAGGGCTTTGGAGGGCTTGAAAGGAGCAGTTATCACTCCTTTTCTGTTGTACATGATAGAGAATGCAGTTTGCAGACTAAAGGAAAATACAGTTCTTCTGCAACGACAGTTTTCCTGGTGTCATCACATGATCTTGATGTCCTTTATGGGAATTCAGTCCCTAGCACAGCCCTTAAAATCCTGTGTCTATGTGAGCTTTTATGATTCCTTGATAGGAAATGTTGAGGAGTCGTGCTCACATGCTACAGGCTCTGATATAAATCAGGTAGAAACGCTGAAAAGAAATATTATCACTTTAACAGATTTCTAAACACTTCCAGTTTCAGGAGCATTTTCTGTAAGCTGAAGTATAATCATGGAAGCCACAATATCTGCTTCGTGTCTCAGTAATAGATTTATTTTCTTCTCTTTGGTAAGTGATATAAATTCAGGGCATCTGAATGAGTCTCAACTAGAAAGAAGTAAGCTATTACTTTCAACCTCACAAAAGCTTTCTAAGATGCTATAAATTCATATTTGCAAAGCAATTTGAAATCTTCACAAGGGAAGTACAACCTTCATATTATATGCATTGTAACGCATAGATCATAGAATCACAGAATCATTAAGGTTGGAAAAGACCTCTAAGATCATCAAGTCCAACCATCACCCAATATATTTAGATAGTCTGATGAACTGCTTCATTTTTAATATTTATTTATTTATTAAATGGTGCTGCACCATAATTATTGCTTCAATCACTGAAAAAGAAAATTAATATGCATGCTAAAAAGTGCAAGTAATGTATGTAAAATGTTTGTTCATTAAGTCTAATTAATCTCACTGTGTAAAGAGCACAGTGAAAAGTACCACAGCTAAAATATTTGTGACTGAAATCACTTACTCGGGGGATTCTGTGTTGTACCCTGCAAAGGCATCTCTAAAGCATCTCTTAAGGCTAAACTGTAGTGCTAAGAGAAACCTTTAATATATTTATGAACATAACCCAATGCACATATCCCAGCCCTTAACTGTTCTACAGTGCAGGTAAAGCTCTTCCTCAAGCCTTCAGCTCATCATGCTGATGCTGCATCTCAAGAGCTCCACCTTGAAAATAACCTTTTATCTGCCTGCTCAAGGGATTTTTATTCATTACCCCTGAGGACTTAGCCCTAAGCACAGTGGTAGCCTGGGTGTGCCCCCACGCGTGCCCAGAGGCCAGCCCAGCACATTGCCCTCTCGGGTGGCTCACTGCAGCAGGTCGGGCAGCCCGGGGCTGCTCAGCCATGGTGCTCAGTGAGAGAGCCCTGGCTGCACATGTACCCCCAGTGCAGCCTCTGGGACCTGTGCAGGGCGACGGAGTGTGGGGCTGCGGGTGTCCTTTCTGTGCTCACCGGGGGAAGGGGAAAGCAGGAATTCACCTCTGCAGAAGCACTGTGCAGGTGATGGGAGCTCTTTTATCCTTCTCACTAGGATAAGGTCCATTAACTGCATTGCTGGATAGGCTGCGTGCACAGAGGAAGGTGACAAACCAATGCGTCGTCCTAAAGTGGCCAATATATCACAAAATCAGGCAACAGCCTCTCATATGAGCTTTTTGACACAGTGATTCACACATGCACAGCATTATCTTATTTTCTTTCAGAACAATTAAAAGATAATAAATAATGACATCTCACATAAGCCAGATTCTAGCCATGTTTTCTGTTAGCTGTCATTATTTCTTGGCTCACTGCTGAGAAGATCTGTGAGATTGAGGCTGTGAGTGCAAAGAAGCGTGGTGTTGAGCCATTCCTCATCGTCAGTTGATCATGCCAGGGAGATCTGGCGGCTGCAATGACCACGCTGCTTCCCTCTGTAAATGTTCATTCAATCATTTCATGCTGACATTTAATGCCATGGAATTTGGGGGAAGGGGGGAAAAATTCTCCATTTTATGAAAATACCAACTGAGTAACTATCAGATATGAAAATCCCTATTAATATTTCAAAGTCAGTTTTTCAAGTTCTTCACTGTGTCTCTGTCTGTGCTTTTGTAGCCACTCAACTTCAGATGCTGCTCAGCATTTGGATTTCAGAATCAAAAACCTAAGAATGAAGAAAAACTCAGACTCCCTCTTACACATGTAATCAGCCACAAAAATTACAGAATCAGGATGCCATCCTAGAAATCCCATAAAAGCTTGTTTTCCATATTATTGGTTGAGAGAGTCTTTTCTTCGTGCTTTTCCCTAATGTTGGCTTTTAACTGTTGTACAGAAGTTAGTGGATGCATTGTCCTTCACTCATGAGCCACCTTCTACTCTAGAATGAAAGTCACTTTCACAAGCAGTGAAGCTCACCTAAGAAATCTCTAATCTCAGCAATTTGATGCCTGCAGTCTCTGAAAATCAGGCTATGAACAGATTATGACCAATGATGACACGTATTAAGTCTGTTTATACCAACAGACATGAAGAGGTAAAAGGCTTGGCAAGCATTCAGGAACTTAGCTGGAAGACAGGATAAAAAACACTACTACATTCTGCTACTCTTAAATCCCAGAAGTCTCCAAGAATCCAGCTCATGGCAGTTGTAATATTATGTTTTTCTGAACCATTTATTCCTCTTTAGAGATTTTCACTGTAGGAGCAGCCAAGATGGATGTCCATGTTCCTGACCCACAAGGCACAAGGACTGGCACAGTTATAGCAATACAAAGAAAAAAAAAATCTGTCTAATGTCTTCTCCAAAAATCATTGTTCTTATTAGCTGATACATGCAAACAACTAAAAACTTCTGTCCTTTGCTTTTTAAATGGAAAGACAGTCATGATTTGCTCCACAGGGAGGATGGATGTATTGCACCCTTTCAGTCTTATGATAGTGGTATTGATGAGCAGATTACTTCAATTAACGGGTTCACATAAACAGAATAATGGATACGAGTACAAGTGACACTTTTCTTTTTGTCTGTTCACACAGAAAGCCAGGCTTGCTCGAATTCGTGCAGCAAAGAGTGGGAGTGCTAATGCCTACATGCAGAGCAAAAGAAATGGCTTACTGAGTAACCAGCTGCAGCAGGTAATGTTGTTATATTCTCCACCTCCAGAATAACACCTTAATGACAGCCCAGCAGCAGCTTATTCTATTTATCAACAAGGCAAGGCAACTTGGGTCTTTAGGCAATGTTATCTTTAAAAGTAGATTAAGGAAGGATAAATTGGACAATTACTATTATTATTAAAGGAAGCTTATGAGAGTCAATGATGGGGTATTAAAAGATAAGGGAAGTGGCCAGATAGAAATACTGGATTCAGATGTAATCCACATTTTTAGAGTTAGATCCTGTAGAAGGTGTCATTAAGAAAGTACAAAGTGTTTGCCTCTTAGGAGGTAGGTTGCATTTATCTCATTTGGCTTTAAATGGGTAGAACATGGATGGCAAAAGAGGCTTCATCATCAGTAAGGGACAGAGGCAGCTCCGGGGGGCTGTTTGCACAGACGGGTGTTGTGGAGTGAAAAGTGTTCCCTGGAAGCACCTACTTTTCTCTAAGGAGAGTCTTGGTGGTTACCTCAAAGATGTAGAAGTCTAATGTTATCTGAAGCAAATCCCCCCGTTATCCCTGCTGAGGGAGCCAGGACTGGCAGCGGTAGCCGTGGGCAGTGCCTGGGGCTGGGATCCAGAGCGACCCACGCTGCCGGAGACAGCCCCTTGGCTGCTCGGCACTGCAGCCAGCTCAGAAAGACTGGAGACACAGTGTTTTTCAGTCCCTGCCATTTTCTGGCATTTAGGCAATTCCCTGAGGGGTACAGGAAGGCTTTCATTCCTCTATGCCCTTTCTGTTCAATATGTGCTAAAAAGCCGAAGGCTCTAACCTATAGCCAGAAGAGGAGGAAGGGGCCGTCCCCCGGCCGGTCTAGCACAGAGGAGGAGCAGCCAGAGCCTCGCTTCCTCTGCTGCCCGAGAGAACTCAAACCTTTGAACTAAAAGGTCACCAAATAGCTTAACTGCCATGCAGATTTCTAATATCCCAAAGTAGAACTGTAGTCTTTCCTATTATCCCACGTCCTCCCCTGTTTAGTTTTGTGCTTTCTAGTGAATAAATACGAGAACAATTAATAAACAGTGGATGCTTTCTACTTAATTCTTCATTCTGTGCAAGTAACATCTGCTACATGCTTCCCAAACTCAGCAGATTGGGATCACCGACACGAATTTTTGTGTAAGCAGCAAAACCACAAATTCTTTAGTGCTATAAAATGATCCCAGGAGGACAACTATGTTTAATTTTCATCAAATAAGGCACATTCTCAGAAAAAAAAGATATTTTAATGTCACTTAAATTTATGATAATTTTAAGTATGCATTGATTCAACAGCCAAAGCTTACATGTTGATTGCACTTGTAAATTGTACTATTCCATCTATGGATAAAAACCCTAAGATGGAGTATTTAAAAGGACGTGTAAGGGAAGGAAAAAAATATTTTTATTAAAAAATGAACAAGCAGAAAACTCTGGTCCAAAATCATTTGGGTTATACTATGGAGATGAAGCAGTTATGCTACCATGTACAATCCAGATTAGTTCTGATCAAATATTTGGATAAGAGCCTCTTTGTTCAGAAATGAGAATAATACTGAGTTCTATGTATTAACAGTCCTCCAGTGAAGAAGAACAGGCCTTTGTTAGCAAAGCTGGCTCTTCCTTTGAAACACAGCACCACCACCTGCTTCACTGCCTGGAAAAAACTACGGTAAGAAAAGAGAACTGTGTTTTCCTGTGAATCCCAACACCAGCCTAGTTTTGAATGTTTTCAGTATTTCTTCTGATTAATAAGCCTTTACATGAAAGCAGTTAACTGGGAAGAAAAGCCATTTTATCTTATTTTAAGGCGTTATACCCACTGCATGTAAATAACAGAGAGATCCTGGATGAAAGCCTCATCTAGGGTGAAAGATTGACATCAGTATGGACAAGCTGTGCACGTGACCTTCCGTATGGTTTTCATACATTCCATAATGTTATCATTTGCACTTTTCTGCAATACAGTTCACAAAACATGATTTGTAATCCTTACACATTCGATACTCGGTGCAGTCAAAACAAGTTTTTGCCTGAGCAAATGTTGGGCTTTTGTACAGAGATAGCTGCAAAGTGTTTCCTTGGACACGAATGCGACTCTCACTGAAGTGACTGCAAAAGAGCATCCCCAAGCATCTTATTTGGAAACTTCAAGTGCTTAATCCAGACGCAGATGCAAAGCTTCACAGTCTTTTGATTTCAGTTTAGACACTGAGATCCCTGTAGAAATCACTGATGTAATTCATAGCAGCCCAAGTATGCTCATCCAGATTTGAAACTCGCTATAAATCAAAAGAACTACTTATTATATTTTTCCCTGGTCAATACCTGGATAATTAAACAGCCATAAAGGATAGTAAACTACAGCAGAGTTATGACTCAGTAGTAACTAAGTGCCATGTTTACTAATAGTAAATTTCTGGACAGAAAGCATCGCAGCAATAACCCTAATCACCCCTAATTTTATGTCATTTCCTCTTTTATTGTTTCCTCTTCTATTATATCCTAAGGAAGCTAAGAACATAAATATTATTTATATTGAATTTAATCTTTGTAGTTTGGGGAATTTCACATAGAGAATGCTCAAATTATGTCCTTGTATTTTTCTGGGTTTGTGGGGATTATATGCCATGTAGAATTTACCTTGTATTGCAGGTAAGTTGGTCAGCATCCACTAAACCACCATTTACAAATTTACATCTGGTTTTATAAGTTCCAGTTCTGTATAAAAAATGATATTATTTATTTTTAAGTTTTCTATACAGTAGTGGAAGTTCATGCTATTTTTAAAATCTAGTTTTAAATCTTCATTAAAAGATCTAGTAACGGTTCTGTTCTATTTGATAGAGATCAATGTGAAAGTGTTTCTGCTCTTTCTGTAAAAAAAAAAATAAAAATAAAT